GTGGGCCAAACCCAAGCTAACCAACCAACCAAAAAAAGAATCTGATTAAAATGTTAGTATATCATGTCAGATGCATTAGTAATTTAATCTGCCTTCACTGTCACTGTCCTCCCGTTGTTCATCGATTTGCTCGAGCAGGCCCAGTAATGTCTCCATTGTGATCATTGTTACTGTGTTTGGCATATCGAATACGTCACGGGTAGCTTGCCAGGCTTTGCCGTGCAGGCGAGATACACTTGGTGGTATACCGGGCTCTCCGAGAGGGGCAGAGGAATCGAACTCGGGTCAGCCATGCTGGCCACTTACAAGGCAAATGCCCTACCCGCTGTGTTATCGCTCCAGCCCTTAACCTGCCTTAATTCCTGAAAATAAGATAAGCTAGTAAAAGAAAGCCCCCCTCCTAGCAATTGTGGAACAAACTTGTCCCTAAGTTGAGAGGGTCACCAAGCACACCTCCTACTCAAACGTCTGTACCACCAGATTCCCTCACCCTGGCACAGGAAGAATGGAAAGAGACGAGATCATCTGGACAGGCCTGACTGAAGACCTTCAGTTACATGCTAGAAGGAGGCAGAAGCTCTGTGCCAGCTCTAGTGGAATGTGGGCAGGCCCAAAGAGATCTTAATTAGAAGACCTACAATTAAAACACAGCTAGTCTCAGAGAGAGAGGAGCATGCTGGCCGACATGCCTTCCAGCAAGCAGAACTCTATTGCCCCCCTCTCAGCCACAGTGGAAGGGAGCGGGGAGAGGGGTTAAGGCTGGGGACTGGCCTGCACAGCAGCTCCCTGAAACAAAGCTCCAAGGTGAGCTGAGATGGGAACTGAGTCAAGAGGGAAGTTCCTGTCTCCGCTTCCAATCAGAAGCTGCAGAGCAATTTTGTGAAAAATGATGTCCTACAGAACATGTGCCTTCACATTACTAAATCAAAGGGAAAGATGAGGATGAAGTAAAGAGTTGGAGTTCTTAAGATGGTCTTTCTGGTGCTCAATACAAACCAAAAAGCACTTCATTTTAGAGCACGCTAACAAATACTCTCTGTGAAGTAGGTACCAGCACTTCGGATTTACAAATACACTGATACATTAGATTTCTTTTCATTCGAAAACTCATACAATGAGTGCCAAGGAAGTATGAGGTTCAGTGGCAATTTGCCTTACAAGAATAAAGCCCTAGGTTAAATCCCTAACTTAATTTTTTTAATTAAAAAAAAAAAACTCCCCTCAAAGGATAATCAGGAATCTATATTTGGAAATGACTGTAACCAAATAAGAGACTTATAAATACCAGATCATGTCTGAGGGATCTCGGAATTGTATTTAAATTTATTTCTGGGCTCAGCAATAGAGTATGCCTTGCAAGTGAGGGCTGGGGCTCAATTATAGACACTGTCAAATAAACATACAAACAAACAGAATTTGAGCTCCATTTCCTAAAGGTAAAAGGTAAAGGCCCTCCCGTTGATCGTCGATTTGCTCGAGCGGGCCCAGTAACGTCTCCATTGGAGACTTTGTTGTTACTGTGTCTGGCATATCGAATACTCTCGGTAGCTTGCCGGGCTCTCCGAGAGGGGCGGAGGAATCGAACTCGGGTCGGCCATGTTGGCCGCTTGTAAGGCGAACGCCCTACCGCTGTGCTATCGCTCCAGCCCATTTCCTTATAAATGAAATTGTCCAACTTCAGCAAGCAACTTTTTCCAACCAGTTATGTCCTGGTACTTTGTCCATACAATGAAAATTGCCCCACCATACTGAAATTTCTGTTCCTAACCATAACTGCAGTTAGGCAGATGCATAATCTGACACCAGAAATCACCTAATGGGAAGTCGGAGTGATAGTACTGCAGGTAGGGCTTTTGCCTTGCACATGGTTGACCAGGTTCAATCCCAGGCACCACATACGGTCCCCTGAGCCCCACCAGAAGTCATCCCTGAGCACAGAGCCAGGAGTAAGTCCTCAGCACCTCTGACTGTGGTCTAAAAACCAAAATAAAGAAATATTGCCGGGGGCGGGGGGACAGCTCAAAGGCTCAGGGCACAGGCTTTGCATACAGTTCCTGGCGCTGCACAGTCCTCCAAGCACAAGTCTGCAGGAGTAGCCCCCAAACAAACAAAAACTACCAAACAGGGTTGGGGCTGGACCCAGAGCACAGCCAGGAAGGGGCTTTGCACTGTTGACCCAGGTTCCATCCCTGGCATCCCATATGGTCCCCTGAGCACTGTTAGGATTGAGTTCTGAGTGCACCAGCAGAAGAAACCCCAGAGCATCGCTAGCTGTAGCCCCTCCTCCCTACTGCCCCCCCAATAAAACACCAAAGGGGGGCTTGGGCAGGGGGAATACCAAATAGGGTTGGGGCTCTAAGGCAGAGTACCTGCCCTGCATGTGGGGAATCCTGGGTTCAATCTCCAGCACTGGAAAAAAAACTTATCAGTAGGCTCACCAACTTAGTTTGAGGTTCTGCCCTGACCACAGTATTAATACAAGAGAAAGAACGAGGGAACCAGAGCAGAAAAGGCTCCAAAGCTCATACTTAGCCCAACTATTTTATTTTACAGATACAAAACCGAAGGGTGAAAGCCTACTGCTCAAGGGGCTATAACTGGTCAGTGAGAAAGGTAAGCATGGGGCGGGGGCCGGTTACCCGGCCTTACTCTGCATTACTTTGCATTACTCGGCAGCTCCTGCTTTTCTACCTGTGCACTCTGCCTCGCTTTCCTGCAGCCCAGCTCAAATCTCAGGCACTCTGACTTCCCTCAGCTCTGGTCCGACTCCAGAGCTCCCCTTGGTCCACCTTAGCTAAACTGTTTTCAAATAACAAACACCTACCAACATTTTAATTCAGTTGCAATTTACTCCTAATTCAAGTCCACCAGGTTATGGTACGGATGGACATTTTCAAGGTGAGAGGGACGGTAACTCGCTCAAGAAACTATTATTAAAGACTAGCTGCAGAGGGGCTGGAGCGATAGCACAGTGGGTAGGGTGTCTGCGTTGCACTCGGCAGACCCGGGTTCAATTCCCAGCATCCCATATGGTCCCCAGAGCACTGCCAGGAGTAGTTCCTGAGTGCAAAGCCAGGAGTAACCCCTGTGCATCGCCGGTGTGACCCAAAAAGCAAAAAAAAAAAGACTAGCTGCAGATAAATGTCTAGGTTCATATTAAAAGTCCAAACGCTATTCAACGGAGCAGATGTGGGATCTTTTGTTTTGACAGCACTGTAGCACCGTCCTCCCGTTGTTCATCAATTTTGCTTGAGCGGGCACCAGTAACATCTCCACTGTGAGATTTGTTGTTACTGTTTTTGGCATATCGAATACGCAAAGAGTGAAATTTAATGTTATGGATGGGAGGGGTAGCTCAAGGGACTGGAACACCCCAACACTGCCTGGGTGGACCACCCCATGGCCCCAAACTACCACCAGTCTGGACAGCTCCGCATCACACCGCAGAGTAGCCCGCCAGGCCCAATAGGCTGAGGATGGCTAGTGTGACTCCAGAGCATGACCGGGGAGGTCCTTCCCTGCAAAACATACTACCTGCGACAATCTTCGGGAAAGTGGGATACTAGCAGGAGAAAGAAGACAAAGTGCAGTCCTATGTGATCTCCTCCAGGGGTGAATAACAAAACTTGATTCTATTTCTTGATTATCAATACAGAAAACCCAAATAGTAGGGAAAACGCAAATCGAAGACCAGCAAAACCACACACACGCACAAACTACACACACACAAACAAAACAAACACACAACACGCTACAAAAAAATCTCACGCTGAACATGGTACCCTAAGAGATACCCCACGGAAGCGAGGGGTCTGTGAGCGAAGAATAAGGCCCCCCCATAACTCCATAACTAGAGCTAGAAAAATAGGGAAGGGCCTAGAAGTTCTTGCATCTTTCGACCATCTTAACTTACCAGTTCTTGGGTGGGACCGACTGGGATTTTTTTTCCCCCTTTCATGATAAGGTACAGTCATTATTCACTCAAAGCCAACCAGAATTTAAAGATTAAATAATCATTTTTAGAATCACGAAATCATTTCTTCTCACATCTAGATAAGCGTGGATTACAGAACTCTGAGTGAATTCTGAGACACAATCTTTAGGATTCTGGGAGTCTATCAGCCCAGTGGGGGGAACACTGACCCCCACTCTTGCTGGAACTTTTTCATTGATTTGTAAGACTCTCAACCAAATGCTTCATTACCACAAAAAAAAAAGAAAAAAAAAACACCAAGTTAAACGATCCAGTCACACAGGCACAGAAGCATGTGGCTTTATTAGTACTGCGGGTTACTGACCAACACAGACCATGAGCCCATGGTGAATCTCCTCAAACTATCATCTACAAAGACTGACAATACATGGAAGGCTCAGTCAGAACAAAATTCTCCAGTTCAATGTAGGGACTCAACTGTTAACTCTTTCCAGTGAAGCAGCAGGAGTGTTGAGGGAAAAGTTTCGAAGGGGGAAAAAAAAACCCTTATGAGCAGGATCTTAATCGAAACAAGGAATTCCTTGACAGGCTTTACACTACATGATTGCTAAGCAAAATAATGCCAGTGGATGAGGAAATGTTAGCACCTGATTAAAACTTAAAGGGTGATTTGTCAAAGACCAACAGATAAAATATTCTGATGCCCAGACATTAGGTCCCTGAATCCAGGTGGCTGTCTTTCTAACCAGTCTCTTGAAAAACCTATGATTGGAAGCTGTCAGCATATAGCTTTGCTTTTGAATATAATGTTTGGAATGTGAACACTTGATCCTTCTATACAAAACACATAAGCATGCTAAACAAGAAGAAAATGCTTCTCCGGATCCCCTTAAAATAGACTAGCTTCTCCTAATACTTTCTCAATGTACTCAAATATACATGGGGCTAAAATTCTACATATAACCAGGCAAGTCTCAGTTCTGAAAATTAGCAGGTAAATGAAATGTCAGTAAGTCTATTTTTTTTTTTTGCTGCTGTATCTTTTAAAAAAGCAAAATCAACTCACATTTAAGCACCAACTCCATGCAAGTAACCTGAACGGTTCAGTCTTTTTGTCATGTATGAGGCCTTTGGTTCTCCAACTACATGGGATCTGTGTTGTTAGCTTAAAAAATACAGAATTGGCCTTTCAAAAAAATAGTAATCTACAGCAACCAATAAATAGTCTCAAACAACCCTGCCGACTGCAGCTGCCTTCTGAAGGCTGGGAAGAGGAGGTGGAGATAGAGCAGAGAGAGGCAGGGAAAGGGCCGCGCGCTACCCAGCAAGGGACACGCCCCCATCATGTCCTCCTGGCTCTGTCAGCGGGGTTGTCAGGCTCCTCATCAGGCTGCCTTCGAAAGGGTTTTTAAAAGGAGGCAGGGAGACTCACAGCGGAAAAAAAACCGGCAGCTCCGTGAAAGGAGGGGCCGGGGTCCCCGGGATCTCCTCCCTCCCCTTCTTCCCGGGAGCTCTCCGCATCTCTAACGGGGGTGCAGGGCACAATGGGGGACCGGGGGGTTTGCCCAGGATATTTGGTGCGCACCAACGGCAGAGCACGCAGGAAACGGCTGGTTGTTATCTTTCCCTTTCTGTTTCAATCAAGAGCACTCCGCAGAGCAAGCCCCCGACCCCCCTTCCCTGCAGCCCCTAGCAGCTGCTCTTCCTCCTCCTAGCATCCCCCAGCCCACTCTCCCCGCCCCCCCCCCCCCCACTACCATTCAAACTCCCCTTCTGCATCCAATGGAAAACAAATGCGCAACGCCACTGACTGAACCTGAACTCAACTTCCCTTCCCTGGGCAACTTTCCTTCTCGCTGCAGGGGCCCAGCAGAAAGCGGCTCAGAGCACCCCCTCCCTTCTCCGGTCCGGGGCTAACGGGCCAGGGACCGAGCTCCGGACCCTTGCATCCACCGTGGGTTCCCCTTCTCCGAGCCGGAACCCCCACTCCTCCCACGGCAGAACTTTCCCTCCTCGCCCTCCCCTGCTGCCTCCCAGCGAGAAGCCACCACACTCGAGTCAAACTGTCCCTTATCTACTCTGCTCCCCCCCCAACCCTGCTTTCCCCCCTCCACCCCTCCCAAGCCCCAGGATTGGCCTAGGAAAAGGTGAATCAATAGTGAAATGCCAGAGAAGAGAAGGGCGGGAGGGAGACGGGGCTGGAGGCTGCGCGCTCTCGGGCGCAGGGTGGGGTAGGAGAGCAGCTGCTCCCCCTGGGAGGGTGCTGCCCGAGCCCCCCCCGCCCCGCGCCCCCCAACACCTCCCCTCCCGGGGGCCCCTTTTCCCCAGAGCTGGAGGAAACGCCTGCCTCCGGGGGTGGGGGTAGGGGGTAGGGACGGAGTAAAGATGCTCTTCCCCGCGCCTGGGGCCAGTGGGCGCCGCGGCCCCCCGAGAGGCCACTAACCCTTCCTTCCTCGGGGAGGCGACCGGCGCGGTGGCCGCGGGCTCCCGGGGGACGGGGAGCCGGAGGGCGGCCAGGTGGGGCGCGGGGAGCCGGGCGCGGCGGGCCGGGGCGCGCGGCGCGCGAGGCTGTACCTGCGGGGGGCGGGGGGCGCAGGGGAAGGAAGGGGGAGTGGCCGGGCCGCGGGGACCCGGGCCGGGGCGAGGGTGCCGCCGGGGCTCCCGGCGGCCGCGGGGAGGGACGGGCCGGGGCCCGGGAGGGCGGCCGGCCCCCGAGAGGTGCCCGGGAGGCCGAGTGCCCCAGGAGGCCAACATCTGCCCGGCGAGGGAGGCGGGGATGTGGCGGGATCAGGTCTCGGGGAGGAAGGGAGGGTGGAATCTGGCTCGGATGAGGTAATCTGTGAAAGGGAGGAGGGGTTCAGTCCCGGGATGGGAAACCCCGGCGAGGGGGCGTGGGGGTGCGACGGCCCCGGGCGGAGGGGGCCCGAGGCCCGGGTGGGGGCGCCGGGGGGCCTGCACCCCAGGTGCGGGGTCCCCGCGCCGGGCGGGCCGGCGGCCCGGGTCGGGAAGCCCGGGACGGTCCCCGACTGGGATGCGCCACCATCCCGGATGGGGGAGGGGAGGGGGCTCCGCAGAGGGTCGAGCCCCGGCTGGGGTCCCTGGCCCGCCTTACCTCTCCGCTGCCGCCTCCCCCGCCGCTCTCCCCGAACACGGCCCGGAACCGGCGCAGGTTGGTGCCGATGGCGGCCGAGACCTGCAGCGCCGCGTCGAAGCCCGGGCCCACCCGGAGCAGCGCCGGCCCGGAGGAGGCTGAGGACGATGACGAAGACGAAGACGAGGCGGACGACGAAGAGGCGGCCGAGGCGGCGGCCGCTCCCCCCGGCACCCCGGCCCCGCTGCTTCCCGCCGCCGCCGCCGCCGCCGCCGCCGCCGCCGCGGCCGCCGCGGCCGCCGCCGCCGCCGGGGGGGAGGGGGGCGCCCCGGGGCCGCCGCCGCCGACCGGGGGGCCGGGGGGAAGCAGCAGGGCCGGGACGCGTTGCCGCGGGGCGCCCCCTAGGCCCCGGCGCCCCCCGCCGCCGCCGCCCCCGGTGGTCCCGGGCCGGGCGGGGAAGCGCCACCGACAGCTGTGCGCCATGTTCGCCCCGTGAAGTGAAGCGGCGAGAGGGAGAGGCGACAACACAGGGGGGCGGGGAGGCGGCGGGGGGGGGCCGCGGGCCCCGGAACCTGCCTAACGCCGCGGCGCCGCCCGCCGCCCGCGCCCTGGCGGCCGCTATGCCGAGCGCCGGGCCGCGCCCGCCGGCCCAGCAACCTGGATACGCGGCCGGGCCGCGCGCTGCCGCCGCCGGGCGGCCGCTACGCCATGCCGAGCCCCGGGCCGCCGCCCCGCGAGCTGGATGGGCGCAGGCTCCGCCCTCCGGGAGCGGCCGGGCCCGGGCAGGGGCGGGGGGAGGAAGCCCAGAGCCCGGCGCGGCGCGCGGGTTCCGGGGAGGGGGAGGGGGCGCGGGCTCCGGGGAGCGCCCGCCGCCCCATTACACGCGTCCCCGGGCGGCGCGGGCGGTCGACGCGCCCGGGAGCCGCCGCCGGCCGAACGCGGCCCGGCCGGCCGGGCTCGGCGCGCGCCTCCGCCGCGGGCTCCCCCGCCCCTCTGCCTCGCCCCCACCCCCAGCCCCGGGAGGAAGGCGGCCGAGCCCCGAAATTTGCACGCTTCGAGAATGCGGGCGGCCTTATTGTGCTACCTGCGAGGCGGAAGCGGCGTGGCCCCCCGCTCGCGCGCGCGGCCCCGCTCGCTCGGAGGCCTTCAATGAACACGCTTTCGAAAATAAGAAAAAGGCGCCCCTCCCCTCTGGCTGCGGGAGCGACCCCCGCCGCGCAGCCCCCGGCCCCCAGCGCACGCCCCGCGCGGCAGGTCTCCCGCCGCCCTCCCGGCCCTCCCGGGCTTGCAGAGGGAGCGGGGCTGCGCCTGCCCGGCCAGCGGGGCCGCGGCGTGCTAGGCGGCCGCACAACGCCACGGGAGCGGGGTGGCTAACGGGGCCTGGAGGGAAGAGGCGGGCAAAGGCACCCCCGCCCCTGCTTCCCCCCGGAGCTCAGCCCGCCGCTGCATGCAAAGCAGACCCTAATGTATGCATGCGGAGGGAGGGGGGCTCGCGAGCACGTTTCTGATTAAGAGAGGGGGAGGAGAGGAGCGTTGGGCATTATGATCCTCTGGGTGGAAGGGGCCGCCGACCGCCGGCTCTGTGCGCGGGGTTAGTAGGCTGCAGGGGGGAGGGGGAAGGCGGGAGGGAGGCGGGGGATGAAGACTCCCCCCCCCCCCCGTTTACTTTATTGCGGGAAAGAGGGGAGGGCCCCTCAAGCTAGGCGTTAGAAGCCGGCGAGGCTGGGAAAGCAGAGCCGCGAGGGAGAGGAGGGGTGGGACCGAGAGAACTTGCACTGGCTGAGGCTGCGGGGGGGCGGGGGGGATCGATACACAGCCAGCAGGCCCCGGGGCAGCCTCGATCGCCCCCCAGCCGAGATGGAGTTCGCGGGAAGGTCACGCAGCCTTCCAGGTCTCCCGCACCCGCACCGCGCCCATCCTGGAACCGTACAGCCTAAGGCGAGCGATTTGGCTCCCCCCCAAAGGGGGAGGGTCGCGGCGAGCAGGTTGCAGGCAGCTCGAGCCCTCTGGAGGGTGCACTGCGCGCCTCCAGAGAAGGTCCACGGTCTCCCGGTGCTGAAAACCGACGTCTCTTCGCCGGCGGAACGGTGGTGTGGAAGTGAACTACAGGGTGGGGGCTGGAGGGGAGCAGAAAAAGGGAGGAGTCACACGCGAGCTGCAACTCCCCCAACTCGTCCGGGATCGATCGTCGTTCCAACCGCGCAGGATGGATCCCAGATGGTTTGCAAAGCGCGCGCACACACACACACACACACACGCGCACACACACACACACACACACACAGCGCGCGCGCGCACACACACACACACTCACACACCAGATTCCGTCGTTACGTCGCGTGCTTTACTAGGTATAGAAAGGGTGGGAGTATCGGGAGGGGCTCTGAAACGGCAGCCCCCGACTCTGCTAAAGGATACAAACACCCCACCCCCAGTCCGCTCATTGTGGAGGGTTTCTCCACTGCAGTCTGTGTAGCGTTGGGCGCTGGGGGGTTTGCTTTGGGGTAGCTGCTCTGATCAGTTACAGATTGGCGACCACGTGGATTCCCTCAAGCTTCCTGATTTGCTCCCTCTCTCACTTATTTTTCTTTTGTATTTGCCTCCCCCCCTTTAATATGCATAACGGTCTATCGAGGTAAACCTGAGTGACAGGCTTTCTATAACTGTGCCAACAGGGTTTCTTCCCGCCTGCCACCCCCGAGAAGCAAACCAACCGCTGGTGCTCAGAGTCACCTTTAGTCCAACCACACTTCACTTGTCGCAGGTGGGAGCGACGCCAACTGGGTGGGGTCGCAGAGCCAAGATCCTGGGTAGATAAACTTCCTGAGAACCCTCATTTCTTTCTTGGCCACCAGTCCCCAAGGGAATGAGCGCAAATGACAATTCTGTTTATTGTCAGAGCTTTTAGAGCAGAAAGAATAATTAGAGATGTGTTGAGTGCTTTCTGTCAGTTTAAAGGCTATCTGTGATTCAGTTCTCACCAAGCCTCTGGGAGATTTCTGATTTTAAGGATGGGAAACTGAGGCCAACAGTTCTAGCCAAGGTCATACAGTGAGTAGGGAGCCAAGCTACATTTCCTTGAGATGTGAGATCCTAATATCTGCTCATGATACTGCTGTTACCTGAAGACAGTTTTATACCTTCCCCAGGTGGCATCTCTGAAAATACATGTGCTAGAGCAGTAGTACAGTGGGTGGGGCACGTGCCTTGCATATGGCCGACTGGGGTTCCATCCTAGCATCCCATTGTGGTCCCATAATCCCCACCAGGAGTAACCCCAGAGCACAGAAACAGGAGTAAGCCCTGAGCACTTCCAGGTGTGGCACAAGAACCCCCCCCAAAAGTGCTGTGATCATATTTTGGGGATCACACACAGCTGGGTTCAAGACTCACTCCTGGCTCTGCACTCAGGGATCCCTCCTGGTGGTACAGGGAATCAAAACCAGATCAGGGGAGCTGGAGCGATAGCACAGTGGGTAGGGCATTTGCCTTGCACACGATCAACCCAGGTTCGATTCCCAACATCCCATATGGTCCCCTGAGCACCGCCAGGAGTAATTCCTGAGAGCAGAGCCAGGAGTAACCCCTGAGCATTGCCGGGTGTGACGCAAAAAAAAAAAAAAAAAAAAAAAAAAACAGGTCAGATTCATGGCAGGCAGGTCATTTACCAGCTATACTCTCTCTAGCCCTGTTGGACTTTATAGGAGCGATAGCACAGCGGGTAGGGCGTTCGCCTTACAAGCGGCCAACATGGCCGACTCGAGTTCGATTCCTCCGCCCCTCTCGGAGAGCCCGGCAAGCTACCGAGAGTATTCGATATGCCAGATACAGTAACAACAAAGTCTCCAATGGAGACGTTACTGGGCCCGCTCGATCAACGGGAGGACCTTTACCTTTATTTTTTTATTTATTTAATTTTTTTTTTGCTTTTTGGGGTCACACCCAGAGAAGCTCAGGGGTTACTCCTGGCTCTGCACTCAGGAATTACTCCTGGCGGTGCTTGGAGGACCGTATGGGATGCTGGGGATAGAACCCGGGTTGACCTTGTGCAAGGGAAACAAACGCCCTACCCACTGTACTATCACTCCGGCCCTGGACTTTTTTTTAATTTCAATTCCTTTCCCATACACTCATAAAGGACTTAAAGCCTTTATTCATGTTCTGAACCACCTTCCCCTCATCCCTGGATCATGTCTTACCAGTTCTTAGGGCAATGAATACCATCCCGTGAATCCCTTGTATGTTCTCCCAGAACTGGTCTGACCTACACAAGCAAATACATGCAGCAATTTTCTTACACACAAAAGGTTATCAAACCCATTTTCTGCATGTTTTTGAGAAACCTCTCTTGGAAAGCGTTCCTATCAGCAATCAGTTTCCTGATTTAGGGGACTGCATGCAATTGATGCAGCATAATTTCTTCAATCAGTTCCCTCCTGATGTGACAGGCACTTATTTCCAAACTTTTGCCTATTTCCAAACTTCTGCAAATTTCAAACAACGGTGCAATGTTAGGCCTTGGGCATAAGTGATTTTGGAATTGCTGAGTCAAAAAGTATGTGCAGGGGGGGATGGTGGAAAAGAGTTCAAAAGGATTCGGCGCAGGCTTTGTATGCTGGGTGTGGCCCCAAACCAAAAAAGCAAAACAACAGTATATGCAATTGTGCTTTTGATAAATCACTTGTCACAGTAAATATTTGTACTAATGTATATACACTCAACAATTTTTGAGTACCTTTTCTCCACCTTCCAAAACGGATTTTTTTTTTTTTTGCGCTTTTTGGGTCACACCCAGCAATGCACAGGGGTTGCTCCTGGCTCATGCATTCAGGAATTACCCTTAGCGGTGCTGGGGGACCATATGGGTTGCTGGGAATCGAACCTGGGTCAGCTGCCTGCAAGGCAAACGCCTTACCCACTGTGCTATCACTCCAGTCTCCCAAAATAGATTTTTAACTTCTTTTCACTGTAGCACTGTCCTCCCATTGTTCATCGATTTGCTCGAGCAGGCCCAATTAACATCTCCATTGTGAGACTTGTTGTGACTGTATTTGGCATATCAAAAAGTAGCTTGGCAGGCTTTGAGATACTCTTTTTACTAAAATTTTTTTTTAAAAAAGCACATATTTGAAACTGGGAAGCAGGGCCTTGAGGCAACACCCACTGGAGATACTCATTTGGGCCTGGTGCTTGGGAGTTATTCCAGCCACATTTGGGGAACCATGCAGTGCCTAGATCTAACCCTGGTCTCTGGCATATGTTTTATCCCTTTTAATTATCAGCCCCCATGTTTATTTTTTTAAAATCCAATGATAAAAGGAGATTTTTACGAAGAAAACCCCAATTTTCAAATCCCCTCCTGCAAATTTATTACTAACTTCTGATATTTATTTATTTAGGTTTGGGGCCACACCAGACAGTGCTCAGGGCTTTTGGCTGTGCTCAAGGATCATTCCTGGAGGAGCACAGGGAATCATTTGGGG